GAAAAAAAGGAAAGAATTTCAAAAGAAAGTTATTTGCTTTTTAAATGATTAATTTGGAACCATTTTCACTGATGATTGCATATAACACAAAGTCACGGACAAGTAAAATTAAGGCATCCCACAATCCTAAGATTAGTCTTAGAATACCTTTTCAGTGTATTGTAAAGCTAAAGTAGAGTCAATAACCTCACTTGTACAGTTGTATTGAAGTCAGTACGTTTTTTCCATAACAAAGCAACATTTTAAAGGCACGAACAATCTTGAGATTATGTTTTTCATGCCTCTAAGAGGAGCAACCAAAGTCTGAAAAATAAATTTTCTAACACGACAATATTAAAAGACTGAAATTTTACCAGTGAAAATATAATCTGTTAAAATTAAAATTGTCTTTGAAGTTTCACAAGCTGTATAAGTATGATTAAAATCAACTCTTAAAAATATTCATGTTGCTCAGTATCACAAATTTATCATGTATACTTCTCCTGAAAAACAAGAATCATCCGCCAGTATGCTCTTTACTGGTATAAATGAGTACAAAGGAGATGAAAGAAGAATAACTGGTAAACAAAATTAACTGAATGTCTAATTAAAGAGTTGATATGACTAATACACTTTTTTCTTTTATCACAGTAAAAAGTATTCCTTGCTCTCAAGTTTCTTTAACTGGATACCAGATAGCCAATTAAGCAACAGTGTGATTCATGTACAGCTTTAAATAACACCAGAATAATGTTAGAATTGTCTCTTATGTTAGGTCATGGTAAATCACTAACACATCTCAGTTTATTGAGTAATATTTCAATAAATTTAACAGTCAAAAATACAAACAAGTTAGAAGACCTGGGCTATTAATTTCTATGATATACCATACCTAAGACATTTCCCATTATAAAATTCATGGTGTTAAATGGTTGAATGTAAAATGTTCCTGGAAGCTCTATTTTAAATATTTCTGAAAGCCTAGCTGTGTATAGGTGTCATGAAGGAAGATATTCACACACACCAACTTAGGGTGATATTTCATAATCAGTAGGAGCCAAAACACCTTTAAGTTATCTTCTCCCCACTTTTCTCCCTGGCTATGCACTCCCACTCTTACTATGCCTTGACACTAGGGTTTGTTGCACCCATGTCACTGTCAGCCTGAAAGACAGGTGAAACTGAAAAGATTCAGAATTTACCAGTACAGAAAAACAGAACATGATTTTTATATAAACACACACATCATGGATATGATATGTTTATATCGTAAATATATAAGTCTACAATAATGTAGAACTAAAAATACAGTTATCTGAAATTTTAGGATGTTTCATAAGCAGGAAAAAACATTAATTATTTCCTTTTTGAACTGGTCTGAACTGAAAATGTATTTTTATTATCATTACAAGGGGGTTTTGTGTTAGCAGGGATTTGTTCAATTGATTTTGTTAATGTGTGGAGGGTAAGAAGAAGAATATTGTGGGATGCAGTTCCTTGGATCATTATGTTGTTGTTCATCACCTGTGACTTGCCTCCCCTTGTCTCCCATTCATTGCCTGCTTTTCTCCCCTCCCTGGCATGTGCTGTTCCCAGCCCACAGAGTGGCTCAGAGCTGAATGGGAAACACCCATGTCCTTGCAGCTCCAAACTTCTTGCAGCCTGCACACTTTTGAAGACAGTATTTGTCATAATACTTTATCCAGAATCATTGCTTCCAGAGAAGTGGTTGATACCGAGGTCACCACAGCTACCTAAGAATCCTTTTCACAGGAGAAAAGCTTAAAAAGAAAACAGTATTTTTACCGTTGCAACAGGATTAAGGTATTGATTATGAAATCGGAAATGAAGTGACAAACAAAAAATATTAAATGCAGAACAGCATAAGTTGGGAACTAATCTTTCTTTCCTCATCTAGGATTTCTCTGCTCCATGCTTTGGCTATCCCATGCTGTCTTTTAAGAAGAGCCTTTGAGAACTGAATTTATCCTTCAATTTCTATCCTATACTTCTGTCTTGTGCTTTTCTCTTTACTACTGAGTGTGATAAAAAGGTATTTCAGATGAGGTCTCAAGATTCCTGTGACTCTCTAAGGTTACTCATTGCAGTGCAGCCATGTTTTAACACTCAAACAGCAGGTGAATAGCAGGACACCTTTCCCACAAGCGACTGCAGATAGCTTGAGCATGATGGGAGCCTGGTCATTTATAGGACTGAGCAGTGCAGATTCTCCAGCTCTGGTTTCTTTCCTTTTGTCTCAGCAAGTCAAACTGCAGTTGCTAACTCACACCATAGCACTCGATCAGTCACCCCTTAGAGAAAATCCTTCCTTAATGTGCAGTCACCTTTTGGTATGATGCTGTATTATGCAAGTTGTACAGCACAATAATGCAACAGATATTTGGTCCCATGAAATTAATTTTAATTGCTAATATACAGAAGAGACCAATATATCTCAGCAATAAATACCAGATATCTCTGTCACTCTGCAGTGCTGGAGCCAAGTAAATGAGATATGCCTGGAGTCTTCCCACCTTGATTTAGACACTGCAAGAAGGTGACCTTTTTAAGAACTGAACTCAAGTAGCTCCTTCAGTAGCAAACACACTGGGGTTACTGAGGGCTTCCTCAAAAGTCTGTCCAGCATGACTTCACAGAGGTCTGCCAGCAGAGGAAGATTTTGAGATGAACCATCACTACTGATGTTTCAGACCACCATGTGAACCTGCAGAGGCACTCACATTCATGTAAATCATGTATGCATCCCCCAGGGCATGCCCTGACACTTGCATCCTGCTGCATTTCCAACTCAAGCTGAAGGACTTCGAGGTGAGAAGCACAGAAATGTGTGGGGAGAGTGGGGATTGCACCAGCTCCCCACCACACTGACTAATGAAATCCTGGACTGCCTCAGGTTCCTAGTTCCTTGTTCTCTCTTTTCTATGTCACCCATTCCACTTCTTCCCCTTCCACCAACAATTTTATTTTCCAAACAAGGCACAACACACCATCCCAAACACATTCTGGAGGACTATGATGTTTTCTGGCAGCGTCTAGAACAGTTTGTAACATGTGATCACCCCAAGCCTCAGGTGAGTAGGAGGTTACTGGCCTAGGTAACTGTCTTAGGTTTGCCTAAGTGAATCTTGACATTATTAAAATTGTTAAAATATCTTGCATTTTTTGCAGGGTGTGAACTGACCTGTTGAAATGAACTCTAGCTTTCCTCAGTGAAAGTGAAACATAGACCTTTCTGATGTTATCCAGCAGGACCAAGACATTAAATCTGAGAGTGGAACATCATGATTTTCTTATCAGGGAACTATCACTTATTTGTACTTGCTCCAGTTCTCACAGGCTTTTAAACAACAAATTAATATATTCTTGTAGCTTTTTGATATGAGGCGAAGTATTATAGCTTCACATTCATTGACAGTCAGACTTTCCCGTCTGTATCTGAAAGTGACATTTTCAAATTAACTCTTTCAATAGCTATTTACTTTTCTGAAAATGTCTGAAAACCTAGCACTTCTGAAATTGTTTAATCTGTTTTTTATAACTATGAGAAACCAAAGATATCATTAATTTGAAAAATCATAAATGAAAAGCCTCTAGCTAGCCATTAACAATTACACTCTTATTGAAATGCTTCCACTCATACAGTACATTTAGCAAGACAATGTCAAAGCCCAAAAAGGTTCTGCCTTTTGTTTTTTTCATAAAAAATATCTCAGTAAGCAACATTAGTTAAGAAAAAAATGTGCGGAGTCACTTTGCTTTCTGTTGCCTAGGCTTGTGTTCAAATGAAAAAGTTCTAGAATTATCATACAGGAAAAGTTTTCTGAGTTGGTATATCAGAAACAATACTTGCAGAACAACAGATAGTATCTCTAGAAGGAAATATGTTACATCTCCCCTTTTCCATGTAATTGTTTCAGAAAACATGTATATCAGCATCTCAGAATATTACCTGAATACCATGAATCATTTTAAGTAATATTTCATGAATATTTAAACAAAGATGAATTATTCTCTGGCCACTATTAGCCATAGGCTGGCAAGCACCAGAAACTGTTATGCCAATGACTGTCAGAATTAATTTACAAGCCTTCTGCTTTTTCTGGTATTGTGCTGCAGAATGTGCTGAGTTTTGCTTGCTTTATTTCTTTTTTTTTTTCTGTGAGATTTAGACAACCACCAGATTTGTTTCCGTTTGTTTCTGTAGCTAACACGCCGGAAGATCTGTCAATAGGTTACTGTTCTGACACCAAAGCATAATTCCAGTGTAACCTACTGAGGACTGTTTGTTTCTTACAAGCAGCCCTCTGTGTCAATCCACAAAGGAGATGGATTGTTATGTCCTGCAAACAGTAGTAACTCATGCACTTAGCTTTGGAGCCTTAATTACCTCACGACTGTAGGAGACGACAGTGACAAAACATACCCACCATCCACTAGGTTACAAAAAGTGGAACAAAATGGTTTCTTCATGCATCAGTTTCTCTCCATTTGTCTTTACATACATATTTGTACATTCTGAATAATCAGAGGCTATTATGTAACTTCTCACTGCTGGATAGTTTTAGACCAGCACAACATTTATATTTACAGAACAGTTTTGCAATTCCGTAGAGTAATCGCCCAAGTAAAGGAGTCTTGCAAGCAGAATTTAAACCAAAAAATCCCACTGAATCCCAAAGTAAATATATGTAAATCTACTGAAAAAGGGAATTTTAGAAAGAAAAGCTCAGGTACACTTATAACTATACACTTTCAGCAAAGGTAAAAAACAGTACCAGTAATATTCAACACCTTAGTATTCAATATCAATTACTACCTCTTTTTTTGTCAACAGCAGTCTTCTAGGTGGTATATGATACATCTCTGCACAGAAACACAGGACGTTTAAGGCCTTTTCAATGAAATTATTAATGCCAAAATACCATCAAATTCCCCGTCATATATTAATACATCAAATACCTTCACACAATCTGAATAGAAATTTTGTGTTTGTTACTTACCTAACTGGGTCTCCTGAACTGTTATCTTACTCTCCAAGGGGTGTAAAAGCTTTGGTGGTTTATCTGTTAGTGGTGCTAGAAAAGAAAGAAATTCACATATATAGTTTTCTGATTATTATTGGGTAGAATAAGACTTCATTTTATACCTATTGTTTCAGGAATGCTTTGTTTTTTCTTTTGTTTAAATAATGCTCATGTCTTCAGTAGCTGTAAATGTTTTTGCTTAGAGAGTAAATGTAGCGCCAAAATTTAGAATCTTTCACACACTAAAGTACTGAAGGCACTTGTGTTAAGAAAAGTCATCTCTTTAAATCCTCACAAAACCAATGCACTGACATGTTAAAACTTTGGATTTTCATAAATATTATCCAGCATTTCATAGTTTGTTCTAAAATTAAATTACCTATCAAATACAGTAATTAACAGAGAAATAATATAAACTAAGTTACTGTAAAACAATTTTGAATATTTGATGAAAATTTTGTTTCAAAAAGTATTACCAACTCTGAAACTTTTGAAAGTGGAGTACTAGAAAAAGGGTCAGGTTTCAAAATTTAAGGGATGGATACAGTGCAATAACATTAAGCTACCTAATGAGATGACTTCCCTCCTCCCTGAAATAGTACTACTAGATTTATGCAAATTGTGGAATAGGAAGAGCTTTGCAGGGGTCAAAAACATTCTGAAAGTTGTTGAAGCATGTTCAAACCATGCAGCTGGACAGTGCAGCTATTCTGCTAGATTGATCATCTGCATACTTAATTCATAGAAGTGACATCGATTATTACTACTTTTGTTGTTGTTAGGAAGTGTACTCTTTACTGACCTCAGACAGATGGGAGCATAGTATATATAAAAAAGAACATTCATCTGTTTTTTCTTTAAATTTGTAGTAAATGTTCATGGGAAAGCTCCTACTTTTGTAGTCACCTGGAACATTTTGATATTTTGCTTTTGAACATTAATTCATACTTCAGTCTTTAACACAGATTATGGGCTGTCAGAGATTTAAAGTACATTTGACATTTTGATGTAACTCTATAATATTTGTTCCCTCCAACTTGTCAAAATCACTGTTCTCTTTCTTACTGACATACATACATCCATATGTGTATGGGTTTAATCTACTAAACACATTCATCTCCTGTCAGTTGAACTGCAGGAGAGGTTTAGCTGCATTCTTTTTACTATGCTTCCTCTGCTCTTTGATTAAATTATCAATATGTCCTTTAAAATCTACAGTATTAATTTCAACTTTGCAGCAATTACCGAATGGATCGGTATCAACTCATACGTTTGTGCTTTGCAGAGGTTTTCCTTTATCTGATCAGATCATAAACCCACCCAGTTGGTGTCTGGAATGTTGACCCATCAGATCTAGGATTGAATCAAAATATCTCTGCAAGGATGGGAAAAGAACTGGGTTTGGTCCACAGGCCCTCTTTCAGCTCATTCTTCCAACGACAGTTTCTACTCCCTACAGGAAATCATTCTGCACTGCAGACTTTGGAGAAAGCCACAGCTGTAAATTACTCTTCAGCAACATCACTGGATCACTTTTCTTTACAGTGGTTTGAATGCTTTTTAGCCCTCTCTGTCTTTTTTTTTTTTTTTCTTCCCTTGTGGGCTAGGGGCTGAAGTAGGTGGAAGGGAAAACGATTCAAAATATATTTTTTCTTAAACTGCAAAATTAGTCATTTCCATTTCTTAACTTCTCTGTAAAGGCTCGTAATTTATCACCACATTGCCATTTTTAAAAACTTCATCCACTATGAATTTAAATTTAGTTTTGCAGTCCTGTCATTGCATCTCAGTTACCATTCATCAGATAATGTCTTCTGAGTCACTGTTGTTCTAAATCTGTTTTGAAACTCTTCGAGCAAACAAAGTTCTCTCATTATAAGTAAAGACATAGTAACTGGTGGAGTTAATCTAAACGTAACAAATAAGTAGATTAGAAAACAGTATTTTTCTCAGTTTAAGCAAAGATTGACCTTACTTTTGTGGTCCTGTACTTCAGGTCTGCAAGAAGCTTCCTACTTTCAAGTGAATAGGCACAGGATGTTAATATATGCAGATAAATCATCCTTCAACAACAGTATGAAGTTATAAAATTTGTGCCCAATTTAATTTGCCCATAACTGCAAGATTCAGTAGATAATTTGACTGAGAAAACATTACTGAAAGTAATAAATTAGGCACATAACTGATGTATCAGAATCACAGGAGCATATAGGCTGGAAAGACCCTCTGGAGGCCAAGTGGTCCAGCCTCCTGTTCAAAGCAGGTCCAATAGAGCAGGTTGTCAGGACCTCATCCAGTCATGTTTTGAACATCACTGTGGACAGAGATTTCACCACTTTAGGTGTTCCAGCCCCCAACCACCTTGTGGCTCTGCACTAGGTTCAGTTCTGTACCTCCATGTCTTTTTGTACACCAGGGAGCCCAAAATTTGACACAGCATGCCAGATATGCCCTCACAGATGTTAAACCAATGTGAAGCATCACCGTCCTGAATCTGCTATCTAAATTCTTACCAAGAGCTGTGCAGTTTGTCTTTGCCAACTCATGCCCAACTTACTGTCCACCTGGACCTTTCCTGCAAAGCTTTTTCCTACTCAGTCAGTGCCCGGTTCTGCACTGCTGCATGGGGTTATTCCACTCCTAGGGCAAGATGTTTCATTTCTCTTTGTTGGACTCCATGACTTTCTCCAATTTGTCAAGGTCTGCCTAAACAGCAGACCTGCTCTCTGCTGTGTCAGCCATTCCTCCCATTTTGCTGAGAGAGCACTCTGTCCCATCATCCAGGAGCACATAAAAACTCTAATCAACATTAAAACAAGATACACCAGAGGTTAACTGCGTGGTATACTTATTTTAAAGTGATAGTTACCAATATTTGTGGCTAGGAAGAATTAGTGCTTAATAAGATACTGTAACTCTAAGCTCTCTAAATTGGGTCAAATATCAGTATTTCAGTTTTGCATTCCCTGTTGGTGCCTACCAACCTAATACTGTTGTGGATACTTCTATAATACAAACAGTTGCATCTCCCAGGGCCAACTCCATCACTAATCTGGAAAAGTAAAAGCATCACTGAAGTAAGATACACAAAGAAAAGAATTTGAATAACTTGGTATTCTTAAAATATCAAATTTTCAAGGTGATTTGAAATGTGCCCTCAGTCAATCAAATTTTAGTGTCTGTTATTTTATCTAATTATTAACTTGCAAATGTATGAATGTTTTTCTGACCATTAATCCATGTGGACTGAGACAGAGGTGGGAATTTCTCCAGCTGCCTCTAGCCCTTTCAAGTTTACATTTTCCACAGATAGCAACATTAATGGACAGGACAATTTCTGCAACCCTCATCTGGTTCTGAAACTCTGAAGTAGACCTATGTGTCTCCTATAAGCTGTTTCACGTCCCTCCAACCAAGGGGTGTGGCTTCTTAACTGGGTCATCCCACCATGCAACAGACTATTCTAAATTAATACGATTTTCAGATTGATATAATGAGGCACAGTTATCTACTAAATTGAACAGCCAAGCCAGAATTTAATCCTTTTGTCCTAAACATTTAATAAATAGCAAGAATCAAACAAAAATCACAAAACCCACAACTACAGCTTGTCTCTTAAACAAGTTAAATACCTTTTTTCTTTTTTATGAATAGATGTAAGAAGGCAATAATTTTCACGGCATACAAAAATATCCATGATTTCAAAGTGCTTCCTGTTCTGTACTGTATGCAAAGAACCAGAATTCTTTTGAATGTGTTCAAAAAAACACAGAAAGTGTTCTTTTCCCACCAGGTAGCATTTCTCAACATGGCTGTCATACAGGAGGAACAGAGTGTTCAGATCCCTATTTGTTATGGGTTTGCATGGCAAGGTTTTGGCAGCAGAGCGGCTATAGGGGTGGCTTCTGTGAGAAGCTGTGAGAAACTTCCCCCATCTCTGAAAAAGCCAGTGCCAGACGGCTCTAAGATGGACCTGCCGCTGGCCAAACTCAAGGCCATCAGTGACAGTGGTAGCTCCTCTGGGATAGCATATTTAAGAAAGGGAAGAAAAACCTCGAGGTGAGACAGCAGTTAGAGAGAGGAGTGAGACTATGTGAGAGAAACAACTCTGCAGACACCAA